GGCTTGTCAACTGATTTTCTAAATTGCTACCAAGTGTAATTAGGAAGCCTGTATTATAAATATGTGTTTAAGGCTATCCCAAATGGGCAAAACTTAGTCTTGTGGCATAAATGTTAGCCAAATTTCATCTAAGTAATTCCAAGGGTGGGAAATTCGTTTTTGGGGCAGGTAACTAGGAAGTTCTTTGTCTTGGTCATAGGGTTGGATTTTTTGTGTTCTAGTATTCATATATTAATACGAGTTGGAAAGAAATTCATGTAAACTTGTGTGTGCCTTTACTTATATTACTTGCTGCCTAAAATCTGTCTAAGTCCAAAAACGTTCCTATAATTATTCTAAGTGTTGGAAGGCTAAAGTCAAGGCTGGGCTTGACTGTCGCGCCGTGGTGAACCTCGGGCAGAATTCGAGTGACAGATGGTATCAGAGCATGGCTGGATTGGTGCAAAGATACGACGTTCAGTAGTTGAATTTCGTGAAAGATGGTTGATGGCAATGTAAAACTGGGGAAAAGGTTGTTGCATTTAAGGCACTCGTCGGAACTGTTGATGGTGATCAGTTTTTGACTATTGTTACTCGTCTCGCCTATCTTGAGGCTGAGATAAACAGGCTAAGCCAGGAGTGCACAAATTTGAAAGCGAAAAATCGGTTACTGTGTCGTGTTGTTGGCAATGATAAAGCATGGGGGGGCAGATCGTACCAAGGTCAAAATTCCGGAGGCTAAAGAGTTTAATGATTCAGGGAGTGCGAAGAAACTCAAAAATTTTCTATGGGATATGGAGCAATACTTTCAGGTTACCCATGTGCGAGATGAAGACAAGGTCACCATTACGATTATGTACTTGGTGGACGATGCAAAGCTTTGGTAGCGGACGCGCATGGCAGACGATGTAAGTGCTGGTAGGCCGAAGATTGACTCTTGGGAAGGGCTGAAGAAAGAGTTGAAGGATCAATTCTTTCCTAGCAACGCGGGCTGGATTGCTAGAGATCGTGTGAAAAAGTTGAAACAAACTGGAACAGTCAGGGAATATGTCAAAGATTTCAGTTCTTTGATGCTGGATATAAGCAACATGTCTGAGGAAGATAAGCTGCACAATTTCCTTTACAGGTTGCAGTCGTGGGCGCAGATGGAACTCCGAAGGCAGAATATAAAAGACCTTCCTAGTGTTATCGCTGTTGCGGATGCGTTGGGTGATTTCCGGTTGGGACAAGATGGTTCTGATTTCTCTACTACTTCAAAGTCCAAAAACGAACAAGGACAAAGCAAAAGAGCGGAGGAAAAATGGAAATGATAAGGGTAATGTTATTGAGGGCAATGGCAATGGAAAGGAAAAGCAATGTGCTGGACCTTCGACAAACAAGGGACAAACCAACAAGTTTGATGGCTGCTTTATTTGCAAAGGACCACACATGGCGAGGGACTGTCCAAAAATTGAACAGCTTACAACTTTGTTTGCTGAATAAAAAGGTGAAGACGAGCCGAACGAGGAAGAACATGAGCAGCAGGCGGCATATTTAGGGCCGATGGTGGTGCTGAAAATGCGGAAACTGCTTCGTCAAGGACGACGAATTTTTTGTGTGAGGGTGGTTTGTTAGCCCCTTGACAAAGTTCCTCGACAGGTGTGAGTTGTGACAAGGATTTTCATGATGGCCTTGTCACACAACCTGAAAAATGGGAAAATATCATGACGGGCAACTCGGCATAACGGACTATGCGGGGTTGACAAACGCACCTTGAATGGAGGCAAGGTGCATTGCACTTGGATGTGCGACTTAGTATAACAATGGCAAGGCAAAGCCATGTCAAAGCAGGGTCAAAGACATGGCAAGACAAGGCAAGGCAAGGCGATGCAGGACAAGCAATGACAATTGATGCGGGCAGATTTGATCAAGTTGAGGGCGACTTGACATAAGCGGGCAGCTGTGGCAATGGGCGTGTGCGGCTAAGTTAGTAGGCGGCAAGATGTGGTCATGACATTGGGACGGAGCAGTGTCAAAAGGTAAGGCTAGGCGCAATGCCAGCCTTGGGCGCGTAGCAGCTGGGCAAAACAGGCACATGTAATGCACAAGCAGCAGTTACAAAACGTGTGCTGGGCATATGACAAGCAGTTGCGGTTACAACCACATCCAAAACATGGCTGATCATGGGCTAAAGTGTTGGCACGTTTTTTTATCATGTCTTTGCATGTTTTGGCCATCAGTTGGAGCTTGTCAACTGATTGTCTAAATTGATGTCAAGTGTAATTGGGCAGCCTGCACTATAAATATGTGTATAAAGCTGTCCCAAATGGGCAGACTTTAGTCTTGTGGCATAAGTGTTAGCCAAATTTTGTCTAAGTAATTCCTAAGGGTGGGAAATTGATTTTTGGGGTAGGGAACTAGGGAGTTCTTTGTCTTGGCCATAGGGTTGGCTTCTTTGTATTCTTGTATTCACATATTAATACAAGTTGGGAAGAAATTTTGATAAATTTGTGTGTGCCTTTACTTATATTACTTGCTACCTAAAATCTGTCTAAGTCCAAGAACGTTCCTAAAATTATTCTAAGTGTTGGAAGACTGAAGTCAAGGCTGGGCTTGAGTACCGCGCAGTGGTGAACCTCGGGCATAATTCGAGTGACATAGATAACCCTTGTGACCCTAGCTACGTCTATGTTGTCCTAATCATTAATCTTACGGCTATGTCAACTTACTGCATTTTTTTTAATTGTAAGGTCTAGCTTAAAACTGAAATTCTAACTTCGAGTTAGTAACTTGTAGACTTCAAATTCGATTCTCCGATTCTGAAGTTTTATTGAAGAATAGAAGAACTTTAGAATCTCCGATTCTGAAGTTGTACTATAGAAAATGAAGAACTTCAGATTCAATTCTAAAGTTGCATTGATGAAATAGAAAAATTTGAGATATTCAATTCTGAAATTGGACCGAATAGAAAGAAAACTTCATATCCGATTTTGAAGTTGCACTTTTAAGCGATAGAGAGCTTTAAATCTCCTTCGAATCCTAAATTTTTAACTTCATATGCGAATTCTGAAATGTGTTCCAAAGTGGAAAAATTTTACAAATTTTTATGCAAAATAGGTATGACTTCGATGGTGCCCCCAATACCGAATATGTATGTGCATCCCCAAAACATGCGAAAAAATATCAGAAATAGCCATATTTACTGATAATTGAAAAATAGTCACAGTTTCAAAAGTAATCAAAAGTTAGCCACTTTTCATGTAAAGATAAAATTTGAACAAAAATACCTTTAAAAATCCAGAAAATTCTAGCATAATCTGTTGGAATTCGAATTTTTTACATATGAGATTCCAGCATAATATGCGGGAATTTCATAATGTGCTGGAGTTGCAACATAATATGCTGAAAGTTTAAATGCAGGAGCTCTATAATCCAACATAATATGCTAGAAGTTTTTGTGTGGTGGAGTTCCAATATAATGTGCTGGAAGTTTGTATGCAGGAGCTCCATAATTCAGCATATTATGCTGGAACTTTTCGTGTTTCAGCAAAATAGTGGTTATTTTTCAATGACTTTGCAAACACAGGCTATTCCCCTTTTAAGGAAGAATTACGGCCCTTGTCACTTGGCCCAACATCCTAATAAAAAATGGCCCAGGTTTGAAATACTTACCCTGTTTGGCCCCGATTGTACATAACATGAAAGAAACTTTTCAACCTTTAGCACACATTAATTATTTTAAGGGTTATATTCAGTTTTCACTTTTATTTTTATTTCTTCTCTCTTTTCTCATCATTGTTGTCTTTCTCCCCCTCTCTACTTTCTTTCACCCAAATAAACTACAAAAAGTAGAGAGAAAGTAAAATTTCTAGGGACAAAAGGTGAGAGATTTTGCAGATAAGAATCTCCATGGATTTATTGTTTATTTTGTTTCTAATCATTCTCTTTAGACAAAAGGTAATTGCAATGTAAGAAAATTAAAGAGTAGAAATCCATCATTGAAGGACATTCATAGTTTCGCTTTCGAAAATATAATTATTTGAGTTTGTTAGTTGTTTGGATTAGGTGTTGTTCCAACTGATTGAAAACATCAAAAGGAGTTCAAAATTTAAATTTGAAGTGATTTGGAGTAGATTTGAGTTAAATTTCAGAAAAGACGCAAGGAAGAAGAGAAAGTCAGTTTTTTGTATATGATGTATAATAGTGTATATGGGTGTATAAAAACCTCTTATACACTATTATACACTTTTATACACTTTTGTAAAAGCGTATGTAGACGATATTCTTCCACGATTTTCAGTTGCAATTCTTGTTCAAAACAAGTCCAAATATCCATTAAATGACTTTAAATGTTATATACAACCTCGTTATACTATTTCTAATAAGCCTAAATAACACCGGCTCCATATTTCTCACAAAACAAAATTCAAAATTTAAACCCACTTATTTAAGCTTGTTCAACAACGGTGGACCAGTCCAAATCTTCATTAAATGACTTCAAATTTTGTATACAAACCTCTCTATACTATTTCTAACAAGTCTAAACAACATCCATTCCAAGTTTCTCATAAAATCATATTCAAAATTTAAATCCACCTATTTAAGCGTGTTCAACAATGATGGATTATCTTAAAAATTTAGTTTTCACCACCCAAATAAATTTAATTTGTTGAACTAATATTTGAGACATAATTACTGATTAGAAAATTAGATAAATATCTTGAGCATTAAAAAAAAATTGAATAGTTATTTCGAGAACCTATTTGGCGTTGAATGTTGAATCTTTACCGATTTTTTGAGGTTACAGCTTTGCAAAGTTAAATATAGGCCACTTAGTTACAATATATGTGTTTGAGTTATATTTTTATGTAATTCCTTATTTTTCAATTATCAATCGGAAAGCTTACTAGTTTGGGCTGTTTCAAGAATCAATTTGGGCTATTAGTTTTATAATGAGTTAGCTTGGGCATTGCTCATCTTAGCCCATCAGATAAAGTTCTCCCAAGTGCCAACCCGTTAGTTTTTGGGCGGATTTCTCTTGGCCAGTTTTGCCAACCCTAGTTGAGCCAATAAAAGGAAGCAACCCTCTTCAATTTCTGAAGATTAGGGCAAAGCTGTAAAGGAAATTGAATTCAGCGCCGTTTTTTTTTTTTTTAATTTCAAAGAAACGTGGAATAGGGCGAGAGCTCTAGGCAAATGACTTGGAGTTACATCTATCCAGACCAACTGAAGGGCATTCGCATAGAACTCTCGGACCTATTCCTTGTTCGCCTTTGTTGATATGTGACTGAAGCTTACCCAATCCTTATTAGTTGGTACGAATCCGTTACTTCTATTTATTACACAAGTTTTTACTTGTCTTAATTAGAACTTAGTATAATTTCTTAACTTCTCTAGTGATATAACCGCCTTTGTGATCATAATGCATCAAATCGAAATGTTCAAATCAGACTTTGGTTGTAAGTAAGTGATTTTACGTTTGCAGAATTTGTAGTAGCGTTGATGGGGAAATTGTAGAAATGGCAGTGAGGGTGAATGTGCGCATAACCTATTTGATGAAAGGTCCAAGTGACTGCCTGCTGTAATTATAGTTGTTTCTCTGCACTTACTCCGCGTAATACACCTACTGAATGATGTCCACTGATTTCTGTTGTGTTACTATACTGGCTGCCTATGGTTAATGACGCATGAATATACTGCACACATTTTAAATAACTGCCATGGCTGCTGAAATTTATTAGTTTGTGCAGTTAAATATACCTGTAATTACCTCCTAGCTTTCAGGATTGTTTAATTCTAAATTTAATGTGGGACCTCCTATGTATGTATAGTGAGTCGATTCCTTTTTGTTTGCAGGTTCTTGAATGCGTAATTTGTTCGTGCCAACAAAAAGAAGCAATTGTCTTCCATTTATAAAGGCTAGGGCAAAGCTGTAGAGGAAAATGCCCATAAGAGGTTTGATAAGCGCCGTTTTGTCTCAAGAAAAGCTGTAGAGTGCTACGAGGACTACAAGGGCAACATGACGACCCTTGCTGTACATTCCCCTCAATGTACGAGATCCTGATTATTTAAAGGTTGACTTTCACTCACATCCCAACAAAAGGAAACAAGGAATAGGTCCGAGAATTCTTTGCAAATGCCTTGAAACTACATCTATAAGTGAGGCATTGGTGCCTTTTGTATAGCTTGGTATTCATTATCAGTTCCAACTTCCAACAAAAGTTGGCAAGTTATAAGCTTTGTTTATTGCAGCCGGAGAGAAATTTACAACCCATCCCTTCACTTGACTGATGTAGTTCTTATGGTTTAAGGCATTAGCATATAATTCTTGGACCCTTTCCTTATTCCAGTTACTGAAGAAGCAAAAGGAGCTGAAGCGGAAGATGGTGCATCAGAAGTGCTAATGCCCCACGAGGTGATTAGGAGCACAAGATTTAAATCTTATGGTTCAACTTTTAAAGTTTTTAGTATCGAATTCATTATATTTTTAAAGTTATGGGTTCATATCTACTATTTTTGTAATTTTAATGAATTTTTACATATAAATTTTTACTCCCGCATCAAAAGTTATAGGTTCATTTGAACCCGGTGATATTACACTACATCCGCCACTGATTAGGAGTAGCGTTGGCGACATGCATAAGAAGAGCTCCGTGTGTAAAATTAACCAACCTTGATTGTAAATGCGTATTGTGCTTCCTAATTAAGTAAGGGGGCCATGATTTGGACACATATGAAGGCAATGATTGGTTCCGGGTTTTGCAGCACCACAGCCCCCGTCGTCATCCATTCAGGAGTAGAGATGAGGGGCGTATTCCTATCCCTAATAGTTTGTTCTACCTTTTGTCAATGCATTAAGGACAATGCATGGTTTAAGTCTGGGGGCGGGGAATACATTTTTTTTGTTCTTTTGTGATTTTGGTATGATCTTTAGTTGCTTTTTGTTTATTAGGAAAAGAACTTTTTGCTTTTCTTAATTAGTATAATTTTTTTGTTAAAACTTCTCTGGATTCCTTTCAAGCTTTTGTTTTTTGCCAGAGTTGTAATATTTGACTTATTTTTATTTTACTATTGTGTTGTATATATACATGTGGGAGCCTCAACTATTATTCGTTACCCTATGAACGTGCTTTTGAATATGAATTTATATTAAGAGAGCAGTGAATAGACTAGACCAGGGGCGGATCTACAAGCTTTGGTCGAGACTATGCAATAGTATATATACATACATGTATATATAGAAGGAATGTATACAAATATTTTAAGTGGAACCCTTACTATCCAAGTTGCTCAAGGTGCCACTGGTAAGGCATCACCATTTTCACCCCAATGGTGGGGGGTCGAATCTAGCCTAGCTCATTGTTTAAAAACTTTTGTTTGCTGCATTTAAGACCATTACATGAGGATCTTTGTCTCTTCTTTCCCTTTACTTAATTGCTCTTTTTTGTTTATTAGCAGGTCTATTGACTTTTTCTTTGATCTTATTAATTTATTTTGATTTTTTTCTCCTTTTTTTTCTTTAAACATTTAACAAAAAATATAAGAAAAATATTCTTTCACAAATCTATAAAGAAATCCCCCTTGTTGCACTTTTCTAACTCCTCCGTAATTTATTAATAGATAATAAAAAATTAATTATTTTCTCCAGGACCACAACTCTGGTAATCTATTTGCAGAAACTAAAATTTTAAAAAAAATTAATAAGTTATTATTTTAATCAATGATGAAAGTTTATTTTGTGGTCAGATTGCTCTAAAGTAGGACAATTGTATATAATATCTAGTGAGTTAATTTTCATAAAAAATATAAATTGAAAAATATCTGTAAACTTACTTAATCTTTAGAGTGCGTATTAGTATAAGTTTTTGCCTTAAGGAGCTAAAATGATAACGAGCCTTTTTTCTTGTACAAAATTCATAATCCAATTGAACTTTTATACTTGTTTGCCATGTTATCATAATTATTACGTAATCTTTTTGCTCGATCGATTTGTTTATATTAACTCCAAAGACGAATAATCTGAACCGAAACCCAAATAGACCAAATCGATTAAATTTATACCCTATTTAGTAAATTGTAATATGACTTTCAAAAACTTTGGCACCCGGAGCCTCTAAATCCTGGATCCGCCTCTAGACTAGACTTAGCATATATGCCTTGTTTTGCCCTACATTAATTTTTAGCACTGATTAATTTCTGCCTGATAGATAGAGTATTCTGCCTAATAATTTCAACAAAATGAATATTTTCTTTTTGTGAAAAAGTATATTTTTTCACAAAATGAGTACTTTGCTCATATTTTTGTATTTTTTTCCAACAAAAAGAGTACTTTCTTTTGATGATGTAGAATATATATATATATATATATACAAAATGAGTCTTTTACCGTTGTAGAAAAAATATTTTCTTTTAATTTAACAAAAAGAATATTTTCTTTTCATGTTGTAAAAAAAGTATTTCCTTCATTTCAATAAAATGAGTACTTTATTTTATTGTAATACCTAAAAATAGCTCATACCCGTCCTTTATTTTATTATATAAATTTTATTTATTATTTTTTCTGTTGTGATAATGTGTTTCTTCTTTATTTTTAGATTTTTTTCTTCATGTTTGATGATTATTTTTGTCGATAACAATTAGTTTTGGAAGGTTGAAAGAGTTTTAAAAATTATTTTCCCTTTCTCTTAATAGAGAAAATATTTTTCTCCAATTGGAGAAAAATGAATTCATAAAGAAAATGTTTTTCAAATATTTAAACCAACCAATAAGGGAAAATTAAAAAATATTTTTCAGCACATGGGTCAAGTTAGAATTCTAAGATTGAGCATTTCCATGGGTCAAGGTTTATTTATTACTCCTACCCATGACCCCCAAACTATTTACCCGCCTTTATTTTCCTCCAATTCTCCGTCTCTTTTACCTTCCGCCATCTCTCCATCTCCATTGTTTGCATATCCAGAATCTTTATTTTTCCGAAGACTTTCAAAGCTGCTTCACTATCACCACAATTAGAATACATGTCGAGCAACGCATTGTACAAGGGCAAATCTGGTGCAATCCCGGAAACAATTACTTTAACATGAGTTGCTTCCCCTGCAAGACCATTTCTCAACCTGCTATAAGCACTGAACAACGTTGTATAAGTGAAATTTGTCGGATTAACTCGAGTCGTCAACATGCTGTCAAAAAGCTGAAGGCCTTCCATGGTCCTACCATTGTTGGGCTTGAAGCTCAATTTTATTTTTGAAGATTTCTTGTTTGATTCAAAGTGGGTGTTGTTAAATATTGCTTATAGTACATTCTAGAATTTCATACTGAAATTTGATAGCGTTTGGAGCTGATTTGAGGTGATTGAGATCGAAATTTTCAGTTGAAAATCGAAGAAGAACACATCTACAATATACCGCTACGGTATACAATATGCAGTAGGAGTATATAGCTATACTGCAACACTATACTATTATAGTTTACAAAACAGTATACCGCTATAGTATACTAATATACTATAGGAGTATATAGTTATACTGGAACAGTATACTATTTGTAATAATATACAAGATATTGTAACAATATGTTGTAATAGTATATAATATACTATAATAGTATATTTATTACCCGTAAATTCACTTGTCTTTTCCCTTTTAATTTGTTTTAAGCTTTTACCCAAGCGTGAGGGGCAAACTAAAAAAAAATAAATTATAGTATGCTATATGATGTAATAGTATACTCTTACAATTAGGCCCTTTTAGAATTTTTAATTTTTTTTGACAACTGATATTATTTTAGTTTAATAATTGAATTAATTTTTTTTAACTCTTTACGTAAAATTGTATACCCTGTTGGTATAGCTATATACTATACCGATATCATATGTTAGTTAATATTTTTTTTGGTTGTATTAACTATATTTAATTGGTACACAATTTAATTTTTCTTTAGTAATAATATAAAAAAAAGAATAATAAAAAATAGTGAAAACAGTAAATGAAATTAGATTATGAAGAGAAAAAGAATATAAAAAAACAGAAGTTAAATAAAATTAGAAAAGGAAAAAAGAAAAAAATAAGAAGAAAACGAGAAAAAAAGGAGAAAAGAAAAAGAAAAGAAAAAAGAAAAGAAAAGAAGCATAGAAATAAAAACGTATTGGAGAATAAAGAAAAAATTCCCCACAAAACCTAGTATGTGTAGGAAATGTAATTAGTTTATGGGTAGGAAAACAAATGGGTAGACAAGGGTAAATAATTTTGTNTGTGTTGTAAGAGCTGAAGTTTTTTTACCACCTATTAATATTACATACTAGAGCTGAAGTTTTTTACCACCTATTAATATTACAAACTAGAGCTGAAGTTTCTTACCACCTATTAATATTACATACTAGAGCTGAAGTTTTTTTACCACCTATTAATATTACATACAGTTGCTCGTCTTGTATTAGCTAGGTAGGTATAAATATTTTTAAATTAATTAAAAACGTGAAAGGCACAAGAAAAAAACAAAGGTCAGAGAGGAATATATACATGTATCATCTGGGGGATTGGATTAGTGGGTAGAAAGCAGAGGAGAGAGCTAGAGCAGTCATTGCAATTCTCGAAGGGAAAAATGAAAAGCTAAAAAATAAAGTAAGAACGTGAAAGGGTAGCTTTTGCACAACTTGTGATGTTGTTTTTATGCATATCAATCTCAATCTAGATCCTTGCTTTCTTCTGGTGAGGTACTGAAGCGGAGAAGAGAGCTGAAGTTGTTTAAAAAGTAGGTACAAGTTAAAAGTTTTTTAAAAAGGGTATAGGTTAAATGGAGGAGACCAAATAGGGCGCCCCGTGCAATTTTTACTATCTTCAACCTCAAGCAACACCAGTTTTTTAAATTTTTTAAAAATTTCAAAATGTATATTCAAGTAAAAATAGGAATTTTATGACCAAATATTGATTTCGAAAAAAGTGAAATTATTTTGGAAAAAATAAAAAATCTCTTACGTCCAAACGGGCTCTAAGAATATGCCGTGGAGCAACCCTTTTGATAAGGAAAAATAGACATAATTGCGCTAACTTTTATGGTAGAACTAGAAAGAGCTAGGCGATGATTTAGCCATATGTGCCGGAGGCCATCCTCCACTAAATTTTCATAATAATTGAAAAGGAAAAAAAGAAGAAAAATAGTAAGCCCTATTGTCAATCCCAGAATCACCGTTCAATCAACCAAACAACTACACAAAAATTGAAGATTGTTAGCCAATAAGCTTAGTCTTCTTTCAAATATTTTTAGCTCACCTATTTTTGAAAGCTCACTTTCCTCTACCAATTTTTCTTTTTCCTAAAAAAATTATACAGCTTTATTTTCTTTTTTAGTTATATTTATCTTTACTTGGTGATATAAGTATGAGGAAATGACTGCCTATAATAGTCCAGTTGTTAGACGAAGGCGACCACAATTAAACTGGGTAAATGTTTATTTGCGCTTAGCATTTATTTCAAATCAAACAATTTAACATTAGATGAATAGACTGATTATATGTATCACTTACCAATAAT